CTGAGAACTTAAGTCTAGGCAGTTGAATTTGAGGTAAGAACTGCGGTCTTTCCTTTAAAACCAAAGAGGGGCTTGTTGTCAGGGTCAGCCAAGGGCAGAAGACATTTAGATCCAAGCAGTCATACCAGGAGGCTGTGGTGGGCAGAAGACTGAGACAATGTATGTAGACTTATGACTTCAGGATGAAAGATGACCATGGTGCAATTGACTGCAAGGCGATTTGAAAATGGCTTTATAGGCAAGTGACATGAAGAGTCCATGTGTATTTTTCAGTTCTGAAGCCTTGATATGTGGGGTTGAATAAGTAGCTGAGTCTTTCATGGCATGGGGTTCTGTTTGCTCAGGAGACTGACAGTCTCAGAATGACCATATCCATTACCAGAGCCTCTCTGGAAATGACAATCCAGTCCAAATGAGCTGATGCATTTCATTATATCTCGGGATCTTCCTATTCAAAAGCAGAAGGATTGGCTGATGGGAACAACCCACCAACAGAAGTATCTTTTAAATGTAGACATGTAGTGAGAGTGTTACCATCCCCCTGTGGCAGTCCAAGAAGAGTGTATGGGTTGGCAATTGCAGAATGAAATGTGATGCCTGTTTTGTTGATTTTACACTGGCTGGTAATTCACCTTGGGCTTCTTCACAAGGAAGAGAGGAGTGTTTTAAAGTGAGTGAGAGTGATTCACTATCGATGTGTTGTTTATCCTTGAATGATGGGGCAACAAAGAAAAACTTGCACAGTACATTTATAGATGACAGAAGCAATAAAATAGAGGGAAATTGAAAAATGTTGGAAACATTGAACAAACAATACAAGAAAGAATTAGAATACATGAAACAAATTCAAACAGGTATCCATGAAATTAAGAATTCTATTGAAAACTTGCAATATGGCTTGAATAAAACTGAAGAGGGAATTTCAGACTTTGAAGACATTATTGCTGTGAAATAGAGAGACCTCTTAAAAATGATGAGGAAGTGGGAAATAACAATTAAACAGCTGCAAGATGATACAAAGAAAAATAATATAAGCCTGATAGATGTCAATGAAATAACTTGGATTTTATCTTACTAAAAAGATTTTACACATCAAAGGAAATCGCCCACAGAGTAAAAAGTAAATTCATGAATTGGGGGAAATATAGCTGACTATCCCTCAGACAAAGGACTTTAATCCAGAATACATAAAGAATAAAATAAATGGTCCAGATTTGAAAGACCCAATAAAAAAATGGACATCTGAGATGAATATAAACTTCTCAGATGGAAGATGCATTTTCATAAGTATACAAATAATGTTCAATTATCATTGGTCATTTGAGAACTGCAAATTGAAACTGCACTGATATTCCATCTCACCCTAGAAATAATATCTATCGTGAATAAGTCAAGGGAATAATAAATGCTGGAGGGACTATGAAGTAAAAGGTACCCTTCTCTAGTGCTGGTGTGATGCAGACTGGTAAAATCAGTATCAAAGTGAGTAGAGAGATTCCCCAAAATGCTAGGATTAGAGGTCCTATTCAAGCCAGCAGCTGCTCTTCTCAGTATATTGCCAAAAGAACCAAAATCATAATACCACAGCAATATATGCACAATCAGGTCTATAATAGCACAATTTGTCATAGCTAAGTCTTGGAAACAAACTAAATGCTCACAAACTGAGGAAAAGATAAAAAAGATGCGATATTTTTGTACAATGGAGTATTTCTGAGCTATAAAAATGATAAACTTGAGGCTTTTAGAGATAAATGGATTCAATTAGAAACCATACCCATAAGTGAAACAAATCAGATCCACAAGTGTGAACATACTATTGTCTCTGTGTAAGTACCTGAGAGTATAAATTCTCTAAGATACAATAGATACTGGGAAAAGAAGTAAATTTGTGCAAAAGGGAGGAACAATTGGGATGAAGGAAAGAGCAAAAGAAAGAAAGCAAGGGAAATATATATTGATGAGTATATACAGGATAGCTTGGACCATTGTACTGCTAATTTCTGCTGGTCTATTGCAAGAGTGGTTAATACTTAATTTTATTTTCCTCTCCTTTTAATTTCTTATAACTTTTTATTTACCAATTCTGCATGCTTCTGTCTAGTAATCCAAAAAATTATTATGAAGACAACATTTTGCAGTGTTACCACTGTTGTTTAATCTCTATTATTTTCTTTAGTGAATTTTTGTATTGCTTCAAACTATTTTACTGTTTTTTCTCTTTAAAAAAAGACTCAAATAATCATAAGTTCCTAACAAATTACTTGTAGTTAAAAACTGCAATGTATAATTTGGTGACTTAAGGAGAATGAAGGAAACTTCTTAGAGGTCTTATAATGATAACTATTTTTTTTAACAGAACGAAGTTATTAGTTATAAAGGAGAACTCAAGTTATATTGTGGGAAAAATCAGAACATCTATTGCAATTTATAAAAGAATTTTATGAAATTGACAACGTACCTAAAGCTCATCAGGTGTAAATCAAAGACTCCAATTCTAGGAGAAATTCATGCTAGAATCATCAAAACATTTTGAAACATCTACAAGTCACTTTATTGTCACATTTCAAATTAAATCATCACATGTTGTATTCATTTGCTGCTGTTGCTATTACAGAAACACAGCGGCCTTGGTGTACTAAAAAGAAAATGAAATTATTTAGATCTCAGTTCTGGAGATTCAAGAATATATTGCTAGAATCTTTTCATCCCTGGTGAAAACCTCACAGAAAATGAATCACCCTGGTGAGCCACTCCCAGAAGGAGTGGTTCTCACACATCACAGGAGGAGATGGGAAGAAGTGAACTGTCACAATGTAATTCGGTTTTAACCAGTCCATTGTTAGAGAATGAATACTCTCTCTGAGCTCAGCATTAATGCCTTACATAGTGATTACTTCACAAGCTAACACAGGACCTTGGATACATCTCTGAATGCTTGCTCCTTTCAAGAATAATCCCATTGGAGACAAATGTTAAATCATATCAACATTTAGAGTGAAATTTTCCCTCTCTCCTTTTTCTTGCACAGCATTTCACTGCCAAGATTAGGATGTTCTTGAAGTCACTATGTAGTCCAGGCTGGCCTCTAGTCCCTGGTAAACCTCCCACCTCATCTTCCTGAGTGCTTTGTTTCACAACTTATTTGAGGAGATATGTCTAATCATATACAGAGTAAAAGACATTCCCATCAAGAGAGGTCTAGTAAATATATTGTTTTTTACTAATAGTTAAATTCTATTACAAACGACATAGAGAAACAGAGAGAAATCTTAAAACATGGATTTTTTTTTTTCAGAACTGGGGATTGAACTCAGACCCTTGGGCTTGCCAGGGAAGTACTTATTCCACTGAGCCATTTCCCCAGCCTCCTAAACATGGATTTTTAAAAAAGAGAATATAAGATATTTCATGTGGAATTATTTCATGTATGTAAAGTATAAAGAAAGTGGAAATGGTCTATGCTATTAGATGTCATAGTAGTCACACTTGAGGATATTTATTGATACTGTCTCACCCATATTAGAGATGGACAGTGTTGATTATTTATAGAGGCTCAGTTCAGAGAAGTATCCAACTTGTGCAGTTTCATGGTGCATAACGATGAAATTTATATAAAATGCCTGAATTTTATATAAAATGTTTTAAAAGTCTGGCCAGATAGCTCAGTCGACTAAAGTACCTGCTTAGACAGAGCACAGTGGCTGGGGTTTGAGCCTCTGTATGTTTTCTGACCCCTCCCCCGGGGCACACTGTGATGGCAATTGAGACTGTGCACGGTGACATGTGTCTGTAATTCCAGTGCTTGGGAAGCTCAAAACAGGCGAATCACCATGAGTTTGATCTATGTAGTGAGACTCTGTAGACACTGTAGACCTTGTACTAAACACAAATAAATAAATAAATAAAATAAATACAATGTTTTAATGATATGTTAGAGTAGTGAAACAGTCAGTAGTCTAATAGAAAATATTAGTATCCAATGTCACAAGTGTTAAATTGTTAGTCAAACCATTGAGTAACTATTCTGATTAAATTTTAAAAAGGTAAGCTAAAGTATCTAGGAGTGCACTTCAGTGGTAGAGATATGTCAGCATGCATGAATGACACATATGCTTTATCCTCCCCCATAAATGCAACACTTTGAAGATAAATGAACACAGTAACAATCAAGGAGCAAGCTACAACAGAGGTTATAGCAACAACATGGAAAGATAGTGCCCGCTCAAATATGTGCATTATTATATAAAGTGATAATACTGATTTCAGTTGCTAAAGTGAAATATTGTTTAAACCCCCTTGCATATTTTTAAAACAAATATAGCTGAGATGCAGGCATAAAAGCAGATAAATGAAAGATATGTGTCTTATATTTCATCAAATTACTCAACCTGAATATAAGAATATGTAAAATGTATAATGTATATTTCATTTTTTAAGAATACAAAATAGTAAAGAAAATGCATTACAAATGATACAAAATTTCATTAAACAAAGGAATAAGAATTCAATAATTGATGTATTGCTTGATATTATTTTCAAATTAGTTGTTTAGGTTACCAGATAAAAAACTACAAAATTGGTTTAAATAAACACAACAAAACAACAACAAATTGAAAGTCATAGAAAATTTAAAAAAGAATAAAATTATTTAACCATTAACTGCTCCTTTCAACATAAAATGTATGTATTATTTTTAAAATGTATATATTAATGTCTCTTATCTTTGTTGTAACTAGCATTATATTTATATATGAAACACATTTATTACAGAAATAACACACTTATTTCAGACTTATTACATGGTGAATAATAAATATAGTGAAGTAGCATGTATACATATTCATGTTTGGAAACACACAACTGAATGTAGATATATAAATATCTACTACACAAATATATATGCACAAATCTCTACCCTTATGTGAAAAGAATACATCACGGCTTACAGTGCTATCAGGTGATTGGTAAAACAGCTAATAATTGTTGCACACCATAATCTACCCATTCTTTATATGAATTGGAGATTTTCTCTTCCTCATGCTGACAAAACAACACATGCATGCTCTAGCGTCACAACTCAGGAGCAGAAAGGGGCTAACAGTTGAGAATAATCCAGCAATTACTGTAGATGTGTTCACCAGTAACCAGCTGGGATTATAAGTAAAAGACCAACAAATTTGAAAGGTGCAGGAGAGTGTATAAAAGCAGACATAGGTGCTGACCAGGAGAAGGATGGTTTTGGTAGCTCTAGACACAGGAGAAGATACTGAGCTGACATTAGTTCTATGAATGTGTCTCATCTGCTGTTTGTGCCTGTGCAGAATGGAAACCATGAAGCTGCTGGTCCAGAGCATGAGTCCTACACACAAACCATCAGGGAGAAACAGCAGGGCTGCATATAAGGACTCTGTGATTTTGTTGTGACGAATGCTGGAACAATAGCCATGAAATTTCAGGCTTGTGAAGTTTGTTGTAGTGTAGGTCTCAGTGATGGTCAGAAGAAAAATAATATTTACAAGCCCATACAGAATCCAGAACAGGCACAAGGTAGATCCCACATATTTGTGAGCCTTCGCTTTAAGCTCTGCCAACCTATGGTCCCTGGGGCTGATGGTAATAGCTTGGAAGACACTCAGGGCACAAGTGCTGCCAATAGACACACCTCTGCTTATTCTGTGCAGATAGAAGAGTATTTTGCACCCCACATCTCCAAGGGAAACTTTCCAACCAAAGGCTTCTATTGTGTGGGGCACTCCTCTAACCAGGAGAGTTAAGAGGTTGGCTACAAGCAAGTGCTTAAGAAACAGGTCTGTGCACTTTAATTTACACCCACTGAAGTAAAGGAACATATAGCGGTAGAGAAGGGAGGAATTTCCCAGAATTCCAATCACTGTCTGTAATAAGAGGATAACTCCATAAATCACTTCAATGACTGCCATCCTGCCTTGTCCCTTGTGCCTGAGTGGAGGACCCTGCAAGGGAAGGTGAGGCATGGTCTGCATGTTCCAGGCCACATGGACCAATAGTGTCTACCTGTCACTGGTGCCCACTGAGAACTATCTACTCAATGCTTCTTTTCTGAAAGGACTCCAAGAGTTGATTTACATATTTAAAAGGATTTGATAATGTATAAAGTCTTGCTAGGAAGGCAGCAGACAAGATGACTCTTTCCTTTTTCACTGTTTTTTATGCAAGCAAAGCTACAGATATAGATAGAAAGAAGAAGAAAACTTAGTCAGGGAGCAGTTAAGTACTTGTCTTAATAGACATCTTAATTAGAAATAGGTAAGGGCTTGCCCCTGGATGTATATTGGAGAACTTTAAGTTTCTTTTCTTTTTTCTTTCTTTTCTTTTTTTTTTTTGTGGAACCGGGGATAGAACTCAGGCCCTTGCGCTTGCCAGGGAAGCACTTATTCTACTGAGCCATCTCCCTGGCCCCAACTTTAAGTTTCCTAGAAGCTGTTTCACTGGAAACAGCTTTGAAGGAATCCCACATCACATGTACATTTTTGTTGTGTCTCTATTATCACTTTTCTTAATATTTGATGTTACCTTTCCATTTGCTTGTAAATATTTATACTATTTGGCATCACTGGTTATGAGTGAACAGTTGAATATTTTTTAAAAAATACACTGAGGGAAGTTACTGCACAGGGAGTTACTTCCTGATAAGTTATGTGCAATGAGCCAAAACCACTAATGCAAGAAGAGCTGCTGAAACTCTCCTGGTTTCAGTTTCTGGATGATGCACAATAACTCCTGCTACAGGAATTGTTCATTAACCACATCATGTCTTGTACCCAACTTTGGATAGTAAGTCCAGTACATGGTAAAAGATTGTAGAAGAGTAACAAACTTATAGTTTCAGATCACTCTGCTATTTTTTATTGAAATCCTGAGTTAAATTAAGATAGTAACAATGAAACCATATTGCTGAATAGTGTTGAAATGTGATACATATGTGCAAATCAGCAAGGTAAGAAATGAAAAGTTATTTATTTAAAAATTAGAAGAGTACATTTGGATTTTTGGGAGGTTATAAGTTAACATATATCTTAGTATATATTTTATTGCTTCAAATAGTTTTCACTTCACCATTTGGTAGTGAAAAAAAATATATATATAAGCATAGATATACAGCTACTTTCTCTTAGTTCAGTGAGAAGAAAGTTTTGAACTAAGAGTGTTTAGACAAGATATCATGTTTGCATCTTGTGCTATGAATAACTACTACAAAGACAACAATATGTAATGTATTAATTATTGTAACTGTTCTACTAGCCTGTTTGAAACTATTTCATTGCTACTTCTTTCTCAATAAAATTATTTAAAAAATGGTTTTCACTTGAAGGCTAATGTTATGGGGCAATAAAGAGATTTCTTCTATATGCATACTCCAACACATGAAATTTACATAGCATAGTGGCTTAATTTTTACAATTCATGAGAATGTTTTTTAATGTTTGTGAATGAGATTATACACTACTGAAAGCTGTTCTCATAATATCACAATGATTATACTACTTTGTTTTAAAAATGCTACCTGAACTTTCAGAGAGAAAGTACAGAGTACTAAAAAAGCTGCCTATTTTTAGAAGATGTACAATTACATTCTCCATTAATTGTATGTGACATGAATAAGTACAGAAAATTATTTCCATTTCTGTAATTGCTTGACTCACATTTTTTGTTAGTGTTAGACCAGTATTGTGAATTCATCTTTGTCTTTGTTTTATAGGTGGGGAGGCAATATAAGCATAGTGTTATAATCCTGAAAAGTTTGTATATGATTTCTTAGGCTGAAAAACAATTTTAAAATGCTTTCTTTTTAAATGATGGGTTTGATCTTTGTACTTGTTCCTTGTCACATTTAAGAACCAATTTCCAACATTTTATGAGTAAACATGTACGTGTCTAAGGCATATATTGCATCCTATAACCACAAATTCCTAATACATCCATCCAGTGTGTGTGTGTGTGTGTGTGTGTGTGTGTGTGTGTGTGTGTGTGTGTTATGAGTATGAAGGAAATGTAGAACATGTCCTTTCATGAATTTTCAGAAAATAACATGGCCTTATTAACAGTCTATCATCTCTATATTAGAAGTTCAAATAATTTTCCTCTTATAATTAAAAGTTTGTATCCATGAGAGTAACATAACTAAGCATGGTAAATGCCAAGCTGCATGGATACTTATATTTCCTAGTGATGAAATCACTGCCAGCGAAATTCACATTAATTTAGAAGCCAACAGGTATTATCACAGGGTCCAGAAACATTCTTTTCATATCCTGAGCCCATTGCTCAGGAAAGTGTCTGATTCCTACGTGAATTTGACATTCAGTTGGGCTCCATCCAGAGTCCCTGATTCTGGAACAGTTAGTCAGAATTTACAGTAGTTTCCCCTACAAAGTCAGCCTCCCAGGTTGCAATTGGATATACTCACTGGACTTCTTTCCTGTGTCAGGTTTGGGATCGCAGTGTGACAGTCTCCTATCTCTGTGTCTGAGATTAGTGCTGCAGGGAAAGGACTAGTTCCTCAAATATTGGTCTCTGATGCTGTGACTTCATCTCCCTTCAGACCTGTAATTATAACTTCATCCATAGCAGCAATGGGTGCATAGATCTGGGGAGCTAAGATCAGAGCTGAGAGCTTTGTTCTGTATGTGATGGTTGCCAACAACATTTCCAAATTTCTTGCAGGAGTCTCTTAAAGGAATACTAGAGTGTTTGATGAGGCCCTTACTTATTCTGTGATATGTGAGAAACAGGTCCCTTATGAAGTGGAGCAGGAAACATTAGTCCTGCATGACAGATAACAGCAATGAGATGTGCTTGTTTAATCACAATCCTTGCTTTCATCAAAAATTCACTTAAAAACACTCAATCTAGTTTTTCTACCCTAATCTTATCTATATCTCTCTGCATTGTTTCAACTTTTATGATATTGACAGAGGAATGGAAGGAGGCACATGATCTGGGCAGGGTTTTTTAAGAGACACAAATAAAAAGAAAAACATGATCCTCACAACTTTGAACCTCTCTGGACACAGCTAAGTCAATATGTCGATCAATTCAGACTTTGTGATCAAACTGAATGCCAAATAACATTGAATTTCCACTGGAAACTGTAGAGATCCACTGGTCTTACAGCAAATGGTTCTACCTGGGGAGACATGTAAGCAGGGATGAGAAAGATAAACAAGAAGACAAAAGTTGGCTAGGTGGTAACTAGTCTGCCTGATGGGCAAGATTAACTCCATGCACAAGGAAATCATCCTTTATTTAAACTTTTGCAAACTTTGCAACATATAACACAAAGTTGGCTAGCAACCAATAGCCACCCTTAACCGGATAGGATGTTTATCTCAGGAGTGAGGTAGCTTGTTTGTTTTAGGCACTGAGGTCCAGTCCCACTTACACATATTTGATCAATTTCCTAGCTTCTTGAGGCTCCTAACAGAAAATTTTAAGCGACATCTACTTTCCTACATTAACCTTTATTTGTGAATAGGTAGCGACAGAAGGTTAATATCCATTTAAAAAGAGCAAATGTTTTTAAGACATCCCTTACATATGGACACATCAGACAGATTGAGAGGCAGGTTTTTATATTCTTATTTCTGGCACGAAAACCTGTCTAATTTTCATAAGAGCTTCCAACAGTCAAAGTTCTCCATATAAATTTTCAATGCTGAGTTTTAAACAAAGAGTGCTTCGGGCTTTCTAGATTAGAAATATAAATCATGACTTCAGAGATTTTTGCACAAAAATGTACACACAGACATACACTCACAATTTTATACATTCCTTCTCCTATCTCCCCAAATATTCCACTCATGGATTAAATACATAATAAATGGCCCCACTTGAACACACACACACACACACACACACACACACACACACACACACACATGTATGTGTGTGTGTGTGTGTGTGTGAGTTTGAGCTTAAGGAAAAAGTGCAATTAAAGGACGGTGGGCTCATCTAGGTGATGGAGGAAGATTGCTATAGTTTAACATAAAAATTGATATTTCAATGCATTGTTAAAAGCATCCTCTGAAAAAGAAATCAGGAAAATTATCCCATGTAAATTCTGTTGAACGTAAACTGAAATATTTGAATGTATTTAGTACAGGGTCTACAGGGTCTCATTACACAGATTTGACTCATAGTGATCCTCCTGTTTTCAGTTTTCCCAATCTTTGGAATTACAGCCATGGGCCACCGTACACAGTCTCAATCACCTTCTCAGCATAAGAGGGCAGGCAAAGCATGCAGGGGGATCGAACCCCTGGACCTTGTGCTTGCCTAAGCTTGCTTAAGCAGGCACTTAATCTGCTGCTCTATCTCACAGGCCCCTGAGTTCTTTATATATTCTGTTTTTCAGTCACTTGTGTGAAACACAATGGGCAAGATTTTTCCCAACTCCGTGGGTTGTCTTTTCAGTCTGTTGTTAATTTCTTTCACTGTGCACATGCTTCCTAGTAAGATGAGATCTCACATGTTTGTGCCTTTTAATATTTTCCATGATATCTTCCTTTTGTTCATAAAACATTTAAAATGCAGAATAATTGGACAGTTGTCTAGATACATAAGAATTACCACAGTTTAATCAAGGAAATATAAAAATTCTAAGCAACCAATGTCATTCCTTGAAACTGACAGGGTAAATATTCATCATTCAAGTGCAGCCCGATTGATGATGCATGAATTACTTAATTCTACAAGAAATTTAGGGAAGATCTAAAGCTGTTACTCATCAAAAACAATAATAAAATTGCAAGGTTAGTAATACTTCAGATTCATTCCTGCAAGCAAGTATTACCCTTATTCCAAAACCAGACAAGGATCCAACCAAAAAAGAGAAACTCAGGGAAATCTCCCCAATGAATGTAGATGTAAAAATCGTCAATAAGTTACTGTCAAGGAAAATATAGCAAATTCTTAAAAAGCGTATACTCTGGGGCCGGGGAGATGGCTCAGTAGA